AATAAAATACAGAAAACTTAACTCCCTACTAACAAATACAGGAGAAAACGAAAATAACAAATAAGGCACCAAACCTCCATGCATGCTCCAAGCCCGATAGGAAGACAGAAAACCGGACTTCAATCGCCGGTTAAAAATTATCACAACGGCATCTCACAAAGCCACAAAGAGATACAAACAAACACTAATTGGACCACTTTCTTCACTGAATACAAGTGGGGAATCGAGAGAGAGTGGGGAGCCATCGAACCCATGTTCTCTGCAGGTTATTATAGCCGCCGCCAATCCAAGCGCCAATGATGATCGGTTCCAATGTAATCCGCTGCACCTGCGAATACTTAGAGCGAGAAAGAGAACGAGAGAAAGAGAGAGAGAAACACCACACACACACGCCTAAACTACACTACTCGTAAAGTAGAAAAAGCAAAGAAGAAGCAATTGGAGACCAGCATCACTTTAGTGCACCGATTATAAAATATTGTCAAAGGCATCAGCTACACGATTAAAAAAAACTGGAATGGTATGCTTGAGAAAATCCAAGGACTTCTACAACAATGTAAATGGTTACTTTCCCAGTTATTGTATAGAGGCTGCAAACTTATATTAACAACTTGGTGGGATCCTCTATATGGCACACGCTGGCGTGTGGAGACCCCCCAATTGGTTTACTACCGAAACTCCAAAGAGAGATGGTAAATTTTTTCTGGGACAATCTACATCGGATCCCTCAAAGTGTTCTCTTCTTACCAAGAGATGAAGGAGGTCAAGGCTTTGTTGATCTTGTGAGTAGAGGAGCAGCGTATAGACTGCAGTTCACCAGAGACTATTGTTTGGGCCCAAGAGTCTTGAAGAGCCGGTGGTTTTGGGGGGCCGCTTAGATGTGTCAGGAGATGACACTCCAGGATTGATGGACATATTTGTATCCAAAAAAGGCCACGATTGAGACATTGTTGACAAAGCAGGCACTGGACTGAGAGAATCTTGCTAAATGTATGAGAATACGATCAGTAAGGTTTGCACAGAAACTCTCAGATAAACTGGGAGTTTTTCCCTGATATCAGAATTAAACCTGTTGTCGGACATGTTGGGGATAATAGTCCATCGCTGTGTTTTAATGAAAGTGCTGATGTTAGTTCAGCCGAAGGTGAAATATTTGACAGAGATATTGTGAAAATAAATAACAAGCACATTTTAAAAGACAGAACTGACACGGTATGGAGAAACACACTGGCAGTAGAAGAAGTCATGAAAGCAGAATGCAGAATGATCTATAAAGCAGCATTGATGAGAAGAGGAGGACACTTGCAGTGGGGAATATTACATGCTGCTGTAGCTGTGAACACAAATGACCATTAATATAAGTGAGACGTGTCCATTTTGTCCAGAGAGAGAAACTATTGTTCATGGTTTTACAGAGTGTATGAGACTTTCTCCACTGTTTAATATCCTGACTGCTTTATTTTCACCAATGCCTCATTTTTGTTCTAAACAGGTTTTTATTTTAGGTTTTAAGTAATGCAAATGCAGAAATACAAATGTCCACTAATTCATTTCTTATTGGCCAAGCAAAATGAGCAATCTGTGTTTCTAGGAGAAATGAAATCCAACAAAGAAATGGACAAAACACTGCATCTATTATTAAACACAGGAGTACATCTAGAAGTGTTGTGGATTTAATGACTATAACTTGACAAATGCAGTGACTGTTGTTGAGTGTAAATGGTGTTGTGATGCTGGGCTGTGTCTGTCATCAATGAAGATTTGCTTTATAAATAAACTGATGTCAATAATAATACATGAGGAAATGAGATGAACAATCACTCAATAATTAAAATTAAAGGGTTTGGTCAAATCTAAAACCTCTCTCACACACATACACACACACACACACACACACACACAAATGCTCTCGCTCTCACACACCTACACACGTTCTCTCACACACAAACACACACACACACACACACACAGTAGTAGTAGTAGTGAACACATGTACTCACACACACACACACACACACAGAAACAGTAGTGAACTCATGCTTGCACACACACATACACTCACACAGTAGTGAATTCATGCGCTCACACACACACACACACAAAACTGTCTCACGCACACACACACAAAGTCTCTCACACACACACTCTCTGTCACACAGACAGACACGCACTTTCTCATACACACCTACACACTCTTATTCACACACACAGACACACACACATACGTACACAGCAGTAAACAATAACACAAACAGACACACACTGCTGCTGACTGCTCCTGCAGAGGATTCTGGGTAAATCTCTTGTCAGTCTTCAACACAGTTTCACTGATGATCCAGAATAAACAGTAAACCCAGGGCAGAGCGGCTCAGTGAATGTGGTCTGGACTGAGTGGATGAGGCTCATTGTGTCTCTATAGATGTTGTAAAAGATCAGAGTTCCTGCACTGTGATCCACAAACACTCCTATTCTACTGCTAAGCGGGTTCACTGGGAGATCAGTGCGTGTGTGATTGTGTCTGAATGAAAAACTGGAGGAAAAGCAGAGCAAACTCCAGGACTGAGCATTAGATCCAAACACACACTCAACACCTCCCTTCCTCCAGATGCTCTTATATGACACTGATATCCACACATCATCTCCACTCCAGTCAATCTCCCAGTAACAGCGTCCACACACACTCTCTCTGCACAACACCTGGTACACACTATCAAATCTGTGTGGATGATCAGGATACGGCTGATTCTCATCCACACGCTTCACCTCTCTGTTCTCCTCAGACAGAATGAGTTGAGTGTGTGCTGTGTTTGGATCCAGTGTGAGGAAACAGACATCTGAACACAAGAACACACACATTTACAACCACAGCTGTGTGTGTGTGTGTGTGTGTGTGTGTGTGTGTGAGAGAGAGAGAGAGAGTTTGTGTGTGTGCAAGTGCATATGTCCGTGTGTGAGAGAGTTTGTGTGTGCGTGTGTGAGAGAGTTTGTGTGTGTGTGTGTGTGTGTTTGAGTGAACACATGACTGTGTGTGTGTTAGTGTGAGTGTGTGTGCATGTTTGAGTGTGTTCTGTGGTGTGTGTGTTTGTGTATGTGTGTGTGAGCGTGTGTGTGTGTTTGTGAGTGTGTATGTGTGTGTGTGTGTGTAGTCCTACATTTGTGTGGTCCTGCTGTAATCCTCGTGTGTCCTCCATGATCCAGACTGTAAACACACACAGATGGAGAGAATGAGCTGTTTAGTTTCCCCCTCAGCTAATAAGCTAAAGCTAGCACTGAGCTGCTCAGCTACACGCTCCAAACTCTTGAGCTAAAACACACAACACTTGTTGGTTGAGCCGGGATGCACAATGAATGTAACACAGTGCGTTCTTTTCCTCTGCTGTTGGTGAAGCGAGCGCAGATACTGCTCATGTTGATGGAGACACCCTGCTGCAACATTCATTTATTACAGTGATCACACTTAGCTTTGCCATCGTTCTTCAGCACATGCAGCCTTTGAGCACATGTTGCAGTCCATCTCTAAACTATGTTCAGATTATTAAAGCTGCTCGCCAGCGCCCAACTTCCTGACAGATTAGCAAGTGAAAAATACACATGTGTGCACAGAGAAGAGGAATCCAGATGTTGATTTTAGAACAAGAGTCTGAACATTAATCCAAGTGTCTGATTCCAGAATCTGAATCCATCTTCAATCCCCAACCCTATTCCTGACCTGATATTGTAGGATTCTTCAGCAGAAATGGAGGAAGAAGTTTCTCTGCTCAGCTCAAATGCTGAAACTGTACAGTGTTAATATGAGATATAATATCACGCTTAATGTGAGAACTGCCCCAGTGCACTGACATATTTAACAGGTTTGATTAATATCTGGACACTAGAAGAGCAGTGAAGTATCAAAGTATCTGTATTCACAATAAAAAAGGCCAGTGCTGCTCCACATACTTGAGTTTGTCCAGTGTGTAGTTTGGATCCTCCAGTTGTTCAGAGAGCAGCTTGACTCCTGAATCTCCTGGATAATTGTAGCTCAGATCCAGCTCTCTCAGGTGTGAGGGGTTTGAAGTCAGAGCTGAAGACAGAAAACCACAGCCTTCCTCTGTCACCATACAGCCAGACATTCTACAAACACAGCAATAGTCCAAATCACACAGTTGGGCAATCACACATCTCTTTGTGTTGTGAAGATGGTGACTGCTGTTTCTGCTCATGTCAACAGCAGTGATGAACACACACATCCTGATTAGCTCTCCTTACTGATCGAGCCTTCACATCAGCAAACACACTCACACACTCAACAAGGACTCGACATCATCTGTAGAAGTGTACAGAGCAAAGACATTGTTCATAATACACCACATCAAGCTGTAAAGTCTGCTGTGAGGAGGAAGAAGACACACTTGAGCTCAGAAGATCATCTTAAAGTCATGTATAAAACACAACAGGAAATGAGCTGATTTCATCATTTATATTGTGATTCTGTTGTGGACTAAAACAAAATGAGCTCAGACAAACACAAACCCGCTCTCTTAATGTGTTCATCACATGACCCACAGTCACATTCACCTGTCAGTCAGACAAGAGCCCTGATAAATAAGAGACTGAGCTGAAGGAAAATGAATGAATGATCTTCAATGTGCTTCAATACACACACATTTGTATAGATATGAATAAATCACAGCCCTGCAGATGTTTAGTTTCTTCTTCTGCCAATCCACTAAAGCGGCTCCACATCTGAAAACACCTGTTCACACTGCTGTTAAAGCACGTAGACACGTTTACACCTGTAATCTAAAAGCAGTGTTAGCACTGCACTTTACCCAGGGTTATGAAGCGCTGCTATGGAGTGGTGTTAGCATCGTTAATCATTGCAATGATTAACCGGTTTCACTATTAAACATGCTTTAATTCATCACGGTTTATTAATCGTAAAAACATCTCAACATCGTTTTTCTGCACGGATCAAACAAAGTTATGCCCACTGTGCCGCGCTTTACACTTATAACCACACATACTGGATTAACTATGACTGTGGGTATATAAGGCAAGTTCAGGCAAGTTCGTTATTTCCAATGGAGAGAGCTTTTGTGACTGCAGAAAATGCAAAAGTTTGAGGAAGACGCAATGAAAAGTCCACAGGTTTGCAAACCCACCTACAGTTACAAACAATGGCGCCGATGACAGCGATGATGAGGTGAATGTTGATCCGCCAGCCGAGAGAGTGTTTTTAGAGAGAGTGCTAAAAGACTCAAGAGTGTCTCAGCTGATTAATGGCCTGAATTTCGATGTTCCGAGCAAATGTCTGCTAAATGTAAAATCTAACACGCGACACGTCATCGCCAAAGAAGCTCGCCTTTACTAAGTTTACACTGAAACTGCGGCTCATGATGAAAAACTACGGTTTTGAGCCGGTGGTCATCGTGAGAATCCTGCTCTGCCTGCTCAAATATTGGGTCGGCTGACTCGCCTGCTTTATTCCACAAACACAGGAAAATGTAAATCAGCGCATAACGAGACTGAGCATTTACAATGACACAAAACATTTAAAGAGTGACAGAAGTGAGACGTTTCTTCCTTTCTTTTATTTTCCTATTAAGTTACTGATGACTGTTGTGCAGCTTTCAGCATTGAACTGAATGATTTATTATAATATTTTGTTTGTTTTCTAGCTGAATTATTAGTTATTAAATTGACATGCATATAAAAACAATAGTGCAAAATAAATATTTCTTTCTGCAATGCTTCATATTTTTTATAAAGTAACAGTTGCAGTTAACAGGCTTTTTATAGCAGATAACTCACATTCAAGCACATTAATGTTTTATAATTATTAAACATTCGATTTGGATTTACTGCACAAATATTAAAAGTCATTATGATTACAGAATTAGTTAGATAAATATTTCTGATTGATGATGTCCTACATTTATTCTGGCGCTCCTGCATTTATTCTGGTGCTCCTACATTTATTCTGCCGCTCCTACATTTATTCTGGCGCTCCTGTATTTATTCTGGCGCTCCTACTTTTATTCGGGCGCTCCTACATTTATTCTGGCGCTCCTGCATTTATTCTGGAGCTCCTGCATTTATTCTGGAGCTCCTACTTTTATTCTGGCGCTCCTACATTTATTCTGACGCTCCTGCATTTATTCTGGAGCTCCTACTTTTATTCTGGCGCTCCAACATTTATTCTGACGCTCCTCCATTTATTCTGGAGCTCCTACTTTTATTCTGACGCTCCTGCATTTATTCTGGTTCTCCTACATTTATTATGGCGCTCCTGCATTTATTCTGGAGTTCCTACATTTATTCTGGAGCTCCTACATTTATTCTGGAGCTCATACATTTATTCTGGAGCTCCTGCATTTATTCTGGCGCTCCTGCATTTATTCTGGCGCTCCTACATTTATTCTGGTTTTCTTACATTTATTCTGGTGCTCCTGCATTTATTCTGGTTCTCTTGCATTTATTCTGGCGCTCCTGCATTTATTCTGGTGCTCCTGCATTTATTTTGGTTCTCCTACATTTATTTTGGCGCTACTGCATTTATTCTGACGCTCCTACATTTATTCTGGAGCTCCTACATTTATTCTGGAGCTCCTACATTTATTCTGCCGCTCCTGCATTTATTCTGGCGCTCCTGCATTTATTCTGGTGCTCCTGCATTTATTCTGCCGCTCCTGCATTTATTCTGGAGCTCCTACATTTATTCTGGCGCTCCTGCATTTATTCTGGTGCTCCTGCATTTATTCTGGTGTTCCTACATTTATTCTGCCGCTCCTGCATTTATTCTGCCGCTCCTGCATTTATTCTGCCGCTCCTACATTTATTCTGCCGCTCCTGCATTTATTCTGGTTCTCCTGCATTTATTCTGGCGCTCCTGCATTTATTCTGGCGCTTCTACATTTATTCTGGCGCTCCTGCATTTATTCTGGAGCTCCTACATTAATTCTGGTTCTCCTACATTTATTCTGGTTCTCCTACATTTATTCTGGAGCTCCTGCATTTATTCTGGAGCTCCTACATTTATTCTGGAGCTCCTACATTTGTTCTGGCGCTTCTGCATTTATTCTGGAGCTCCTGCATTTATTCTTGTGCTCCTGCATTTATTCTGCCGCTCCTGCATTTATTCTGGTTCTCCTGCATTTATTCTGGTGCTCCTGCATTTATTCTGCCGCTCCTACATTTATTCTGCCGCTCCTGCATTTATTCTGGAGCTCCTACATTTATTCTGGCTCTCCTGCATTTATTCTGGCGCTCCTACATTTATTCTGGCGCTCCTGCATTTATTCTGGCGCTCCTACATTTATTCTGGTTCTCCTACATTTATTCTGGTGCTCCTGCATTTATTCTGGTTCTCCTACATTTATTTTGGCGCTCCTGTATTTATTCTGGAGCTCCTACATTTATTCTGGCGCTCCTGCATTTATTCTGGTTCTCCTACATTTATTCTGCCGCTCCTGCATTTATTCTGGAGCTCCTACATTTATTCTGGCTCTCCTGCATTTATTCTGGCGCTCCTACATTTATTCTGGCGCTCCTGCATTTATTCTGGCGCTCCTACATTTATTCTGGTTCTCCTACATTTATTTTGGCGCTCCTGTATTTATTCTGGAGCTCCTACATTTATTCTGGCGCTCCTGCATTTATTCTGGTGCTCCTACATTTATTCTGGCGCTCCTGCATTTATTCTGGCGCTCCTACATTTATTCTGGTGCTCCTACATTTATTCTGGAGCTCCTACATTTATTCTGACGCTCCTGCATTTATTCTGGTTCTCCTACATTTATTTTGGCGCTCCTGCATTTATTCTGGAGCTCCTACATTTATTCTGGAGCTCCTACATTTATTCTGGAGCTCCTGCATTTATTCTGGCGCTCCTGCATTTATTCTGGCGCTCCTGCATTTATTCTGGTGCTCCTGCATTTATTCTGGTGTTCCTACATTTATTCTGCCGCTCCTACATTTATTCTGCCGCTCCTGCATTTATTCTGGCGCTCCTGCATTTATTCTGGAGCTCATACATTTATTCTGGAGCTCCTGCATTTATTCTGGCGCTCCTGCATTTATTCTGGCGCTCCTACATTTATTCTGGTTTTCTTACATTTATTCTGGTGCTCCTGCATTTATTCTGGTTCTCTTGCATTTATTCTGGCGCTCCTGCATTTATTCTGGTGCTCCTGCATTTATTTTGGTTCTCCTACATTTATTTTGGCGCTACTGCATTTATTCTGACGCTCCTACATTTATTCTGGAGCTCCTACATTTATTCTGGAGCTCCTACATTTATTCTGCCGCTCCTGCATTTATTCTGGCGCTCCTGCATTTATTCTGGTGCTCCTGCATTTATTCTGCCGCTCCTGCATTTATTCTGGAGCTCCTACATTTATTCTGGCGCTCCTGCATTTATTCTGGTGCTCCTGCATTTATTCTGGTGTTCCTACATTTATTCTGCCGCTCCTGCATTTATTCTGCCGCTCCTGCATTTATTCTGGTGCTCCTGCATTTATTCTGGTGCTCCTGCATTTATTCTGGCGCTCCTGCATTTATTCTGCCGCTCCTGCATTTATTCTGCCGCTCCTACATTTATTCTGCCGCTCCTGCATTTATTCTGGTTCTCCTGCATTTATTCTGGTGCTCCTGCATTTATTCTGCCGCTCCAACATTTATTCTGCCACTCCTGCATTTATTCTGGAGCTCCTACATTTATTCTGGCTCTCCTGCATTTATTCTGGCGCTCCTACATTTATTCTGGTTCTCCTACATTTATTCTGGTGCTCCTGCATTTATTCTGGTTCTCCTACATTTATTTTGGCGCTCCTGTATTTATTCTGGAGCTCCTACATTTATTCTGGAGCTCCTACATTTATTCTGGAGCTCCTACATTTATTCTGGCGCTCCTGCATTTATTCTGGTGCTCCTGCATTTATTCTGGTGTTCCTACATTTATTCTGGTGCTCCTGCATTAATTCTGGTTCTCCTACATTTATTCTGGCGCTCCTGCATTTATTCTGGTGCTCCTGCATTTATTCTGGCGCTCCTGCATTTATTCTGGTGTTCCTACATTTATTCTGCCGCTCCTACATTTATTCTGGTGCTCCTACATTTATTCTGGAGCTCCTACATTTATTCTGCCGCTCCTGCATTTATTCTGGAGCTCCTACATTTATTCTGGAGCTCCTACATTTATTCTGCCGCTCCTACATTTATTCTGGTGCTCCTACATTTATTCTGGAGCTCCTACATTTATTCTGCCGCTCCTGCATTTATTCTGGAGCTCCTACATTTATTCTGGAGCTCCTACATTTATTCTGGCGCTCCTGCATTTATTCTGGTGTTCCTACATTTATTCTGGTGCTCCTGCATTAATTCTGGTTCTCCTACATTTATTCTGGCGCTCCTGCATTTATTCTGGTGCTCCTGCATTTATTCTGGCGCTCCTGCATTTATTCTGGTGTTCCTACATTTATTCTGCCGCTCCTACATTTATTCTGGTGCTCCTACATTTATTCTGGAGCTCCTACATTTATTCTGCCGCTCCTGCATTTATTCTGGAGCTCCTACATTTATTCTGGTTCTCCTGCATTTATTCTGGTGCTCCTGCATTAATTCTGGTTCTCCTACATTTATTCTGGCGCTCCTGCATTTATTCTGGTGCTCCTGCATTTATTCTGGCGCTCCTGCATTTATTCTGGTGTTCCTACATTTATTCTGCCGCTCCTACATTTATTCTGGTGCTCCTACATTTATTCTGGAGCTCCTACATTTATTCTGCCGCTCCTGCATTTATTCTGGAGCTCCTACATTTATTCTGGTTCTCCTGCATTTATTCTGGTGCTCCTGCATTAATTCTGGTTCTCCTACATTTATTCTGGCGCTCCTGCATTTATTCTGGTGCTCCTGCATTTATTCTGGCGCTCCTGCATTTATTCTGGTGTTCCTACATTTATTCTGCCGCTCCTACATTTATTCTGGTGCTCCTACATTTATTCTGGAGCTCCTACATTTATTCTGCCGCTCCTG